AAAGGCAAGAACTTTTGATATTACCGAAAAAAATATCACTATATTATAAAGATAATAATTGCCAGTAAGTTTTTGTTTTCCTGCTTAATAAGTGGTAATTTTGCAGTGTTATCCTGCAAAAAAAAAAAAAAAGAATAAAAAAAAACCATTACAAAGGTGACAAACAGAAAAATATTAAAGTAGACAATTCCTCATCCCTTCTTATCAGTGAAAAAAAAAAAGAAACTTTATTTTCTGCATTTATAGCAATTTTGATTATAATGATAACAGCAAAAATTGGTGAAAAGAAAATTAAAAAAAAAAAAAGAAAAAATCACCTTTATTATCTGGAATTTTAGTGGCATCGTTTTGGGATTCATACTAATTGACTGTCGTGTGAAACAAAAATGGACCACAGACAACGGCAGACAAAACGGACACGTACAGACAGGCGCAGAGAGATGGGGAAAAAGAGTGAGAGACAGAGAGGAGGAAGCAGCAGAAACAGAGATAATGAAGGCATTGGGCAAGCAGCAACGGCAGCAGCAGTATATAGTAGTAGCAACAGTAAAGGCTGTATATGCCGGGCAGCCAGCGCCCTCTTCTAATTTCTATGTGTGTGTGTGTATGTGTATGTGTGTGTGTGTCAGGCCTTGATTCTCAGCTGTTTTAAGATTCATACACACATACACACCGATACATGATTCTTTATATTTTTATTATCGGTTCTGTTCTTAGATGTATTTCCTTCAAATATTTATGGTGCTTCTCTTTTTTTTTTTCTTTTTTTTCATTTTTCATTTATTGTTGAAACCTACAAATTGTTAATTTTCTTTTAGGCTTTGTTCTCTTTTTTCTTTTTTTCGATAACAAGTAGTTCCTTTTTTTTTTTAATCATTATAAAATTTTATCTTAAGGTTTACACCATAAATAGCAACATTTTTTTTTTCAGTATGTATTTTTATTTTCAAGTGTCTTTGTTGCACTCATTATTGTCAATGTAAATGAATAATATAGATGACTGTTTAAAGTTGTATTTATGCGTGTCTGAGTGCATGTATTTGTATGTAAATGTGTATTTTGTGTGGAAGTGTAATTACTGCTATTAAATTGACAAGATTTTTTAGCAAGAACTTTCACTGGATGACGTCTGATAAATCCTGTAAGTATAGATAATAATTATGATATGTAAATAATTGCAATTATTATTATTATTATTACTGTCACGTTTCATGGGTGATTTTTTTTCTCATTATTCTGTAGTTACAAAGTATTAGGGATGGGGAAAAACCGTTAGGTTATCGAGATGTTATTCGATAGTTTGTAATTTGTACTTGTTTGAAATTCAATACAGATGGATTTTTGGTTGCATTTTTTAATGCATTTGACGAATGTGACTTTTCTTCGGAGGATTTTTTTTTTCCTTGAGTACAGGAACAGGGAATTATTGACAATATTTTGGAGAAGATTGATTTCCCTGTTTTTAATACGTCTGTTTGTTGACGATGACTGTTTGGATGGTCAGTGATTCTCTGTCTTGAACGGCTTGAATTGTAGAACAACATTTTGAGGTAGGTAAATGGAAAGATATTTAAAAAATTAAGCGATTATTGCAATGTTCAGTTCCTCTATCGGTAGTCATTGTTGCTGTTGTTGCCGTTGTATCATCGGTGGTTGCTGCGATAGCAGTGAACACGAATGACGTTGTCGATAAGTCAGAGGAGACGTGGCTCCACCTGGGTTGATACGTTGCTGAACTATAGACGCTAGACTGTTGTATTATGAAATTTATGTGCTTGGTATGATGATTTCATTAGGTTTTTAAGAGCCTTTCTGTCGCCACTTTGAACCTATCTTGATTGACTTTTAGAAATTTTGGTAGATTGTGAAAAATGAGGAGGGTATAGGACGGGGGGAGGGAGGGGGAAGGGAGAGTAGAAAAAAAAAAAAAAAAAAAAAAAAAAAAAAA